TATAGTTCAAACCCCAGATAGTCTGTAAATTTTCGATAAGCCTCGCGGAATTGTCAAATATTTGGCACAAGATTAAATTTAGCTGTTGTTATTACCGTTTGGAATATTCAATTTGTGCCACTTGCATAAAATGTGTGCGAGTTAAAAGTTCATCGTTTGGGTCAGCAGATAAAAATCATGACTTAACTATTCACAATCTGATATCGTCGGTTATCTTTCTTATTTGGGTTCCGTCTAAGATTTTAATCTTTTCTAGCTCGTCGCTTTCTACAGGAATTTTATTTATCGCTTGTGATCTGCTGCTGCAGCAAGGCGAAAAGTAAAACCAGCTAGTTTATCCACTTCGCTTAAATACAGTAAGCGATCGATAATCCTGAAAGATCGGTATATATGTAATAATCAAATAAGCGGATTATTGGAATTAATAAGAATGGGGCAAATAATTTAAACCTGTGATCTAAGATTCAAAGTGCATGCGGGCCGAATGTAAGATATGAAAGTAGCTCTCTCCCCTCCCCCCCCAAAGGCAAGGTTTAGTTCAAAGGGGCTTTGTTCCTGAGAGACTATTGTTTTCGTTTTGCGATTTTGCGTCGAATCACTCCGAATGTCCGTTTTACTTTTCAAACTGTTGCCACCAAATATTATCGCCCTGTATTATATTTGAAGAAATTAAATAATGAAGAATCTGCATAAATGTACGTATGTTTCTCGCATTAAGATAAAACAGCGGTACCTAGAACCATCAAATTTTGAATGACATAATCCTACCACGAATATGGGCATCTGGAAGCCCAAATTTGAAATTTGGAATTTGTTTTATTATCGATTTAGTATCTTGTAAAACTTAAACGAATTTCTGATTAACAAACTCAAGGATTTCAAAGCGAGCCATGGCAACGTTGTACAGAAAAAACATTTTTATCTCCAGCGCGTGAGACTGTGTATCGAAAATTCTAAAGATATGCTCCATTAAAAATTATTTTGCAATATTGCTCTTGAACTGAATTTTATGGTTTAAGTGCGAAGAACGTGATATTTAATAAATAAAGGTAACACACAAAATGTCAAAAAAAAGTCCCTTTGAACGTAGTTTAAAATATGAAAATTTTCAGATTTTTATTATTATTATTATTTTATTTTTAACAAAATAAAATTTTTTAAACTTTATTTTGAGTTTGGGGTCAACAAGAAGTTTGATAGTTACACTTTGTGATTCAAACGTATTGACAGTTAAATACTGAATTTTAAGACTAGCATTTATTTCAAACAGATCAAATATGTTGAATAAACCTGTACATAACTTACTTTTGTCTTAAAATAAACAAGTAATGCATGCAGAAACAATACATATATTTGTATAATTATAAACTTCTTTAATTCTTACTACATTTTTCAGTTACAACATGGGGTTTCGATTTTGATAAAATTTGTAACTTTAGAGAAAAATAACTGGAAACTAAAATAAATTGTAGATGCGCATCGGTCAGTTTGATTCTCTTATTAATTTTCTATACGTTCATGCAAGTTCTGCATTATTTAATTTCTTTAAATATAATGCACGGCTCTAATATTTGGTGGCAACAATCTGGAAAATGAAACGCAGTGTATAGTGAAACAACACAAAACGCCAAAACGAAATTAATAGCCCTTCTAGACTAACTCCCTTTGGACTAAAAATCTGATGTGGACACAACATGATATTCTTGTACGGCTTATTAATTTATACATATTTTTGCTGCATTTCATTTAAACTTATTTCCTCAAATTTCATTTGAGAAATATTTCTCATTCAATTAATTCAGTTTTCGCTTCGCGGTAAGGCAAAAATACATAAAAACTCAAAGCAGCTTTATTAAAAATTGTAAACAACAGAAAAGCATAAAATACCAAATGCAGTTAAAAAAACAATTTTTACAATTAAAAGAATTTGTACACAAAAACAAGTAATTCGGCCAGAGGGCAAGAAGGCAGATTTGAAAGTGCACAAATTGCTCCTTCTCCTCCATTGACAAACCTTCTGGTTTATCGTAGTACTCGAATGGATTTTTTATGCATTCATGCTTAGTTTTGTCTTCTGGGAAAATATTATTATAGTTTTCTTCGATTGAAAAAGTGCTTCTTTGTATAACTTTTAAAATTGTCATCTAAATTCAATTCATTTGCCATTGGAAAACTGTTTAGTTTTGCAAAGCATTGTACATCATTCTCTTTGACATAGGATGGGCACATATTAAGTTTTAAAACTAATGTATAACTAAATATATTTTTACATTAAAAAAAATTAAATAAAATCACTTTGACACCCGTGAACTTTTGTATTGTCAAGTGGAAACATTTTTGACAAGTCAATGCATCAATAATGTCACGGTATGTCGTCTCAAACCTCGTAACGGCTCAACTGTCTGATGGCGGCCTTTGGATTTTAACTCGTGGGAAGAATACACACGCTTGAATTCGTTATCTTTGTGCGACCCGCCACACTGACTTTTGTCTGGACTTGTTGATTACTCCGGTTTGGCAGACAACTTTATATTCTTTTTCCTCCCTTTCGTACGGGGAATGATTAATGTGTCCTTCCCCTTGCTACTGTAGATGTGGTTTGTGTTTTTGTGGTTTGTGTTTTTCTGGTTTTGCAGCTAAGAAAGTTCATTTCACTCTTGGTTGTTAGCATTTTTGTTGAATGTTGTGTTATGTTTATTTCATTTAGCGCTGTAAATATTTCTTAGACTAGATGGTCTGAAAAAATATCAGCATTTTTAGCGCTCGTGATGTTGAAAATCAGAGACCCATTATGGATAGAAAATTCCTGAAGCTATAGAACTAATAGAAACCAACAGCCAGACCAAAATACGCTCTTCCGATGAATTCTATTTGAAAATCTGGCTAAAGCGAAAGTTCTGATTCTGCTGTGTCCTGATTTATAATAGAATATAAGCTTTAAAAAATAGTATTACCATATGCAACTAGATTTCTAGGGAAAAACCTAGGCATCGATAGCTATAGCAAAATTACAGCTAATGCGACCACTTGCGATTTCAATCTTTAATAACAAAGAAAGAGGAATTGCTGGTGAGGCACTTGTCTGAAGTAAGGCTATAAGGTATTTCTCCCACTTCCCTAGCATGCCTTCGTGGTGTAGTGGTTCTGCACGCTGGACTAGTATTCCAGAGGTCCGTGGTTCGATTCCCGGCGAAGGCGGTTGCTAATTTTTCATCTCTCTGGCTTCCAAAAAATCCTAATGTCTCTACAAGTGGCGCCCGAACTAAAAGGGTTGTGGATGATGATTCTCTGCACCCAGGATTTGGCGAATAGGTCCCCTAAAACCCTAGTCGCCCTTTAAAAAGGGGAGTATATAAGGTATTTCTCCCACTTTTCTAGCGTCCTTCGTGGTGTAGTGGTTCTGCACGCTGGGCCGGTATTCCAGAGGTCCGTGGTTCGATTCCCGGTGAAGGCGTTTGCTATTTTTCATCTTTCCTGCATCCAAAAATATACCTAATGACTCTACAAGGCTAATAATCATTATAAAAAAAAACGCAATGTATCTAACGCTGCTGTTAGACGTTGTCAGCAAAATTTTTAATAACAGCATTAGAGCTTTTGAAGATCATTTCAAAATTTATGAAAATTTAGATAGAGCTAATCAATTATTAGACCGAAGGAAAACAGTTTTATGTATTATTCAAACAGTTCAAACAGTTTCTAATTTAACTCATATTTCTCTGCCGTAGAGTGAATAAATAACAGTATACAAATATTTTTTTTATAGAATGGTACTGTTTATTTAAATTTTAATTAAATCAATAAAATTTTATATTGAATCATTAAAATTATAATTTGAAAGTCAGTATTTATAGTAAAATATTTGTTTTTTTTTCTCCGTATTATTTTATAACTTTGTAATTACACTAGCTAAAGTACACGGTGTTGTCCAGGCTTTAAGCAGAGTGAAGGGGCTTCATTTAGGGGGATCGAGATAGAAATTCATTATCTTAGTGATCATTCATTATCATTGTGAACTTCTTATTCTTCATTCGTTATCTTTGTGGACTCATCATATCTTTGTCTACTTTCTGTGAATCTGCGTGCAAGTTTTTGAAAATCTCAGGTAGGCAGTAATTTTCTTCTTATTTTCGCACGAGGTGGATTGTGCAAAGTTTTACCAAGCTCGAATAAAATTATAGAACAGAACCAATAACGCGCCATGGAACGATTTAACGCCAAATTACGGTAACCCTTTCTTGCTTTGTTATTCGCTATTTTTTCCCGGAAATTAGCTTTCGGAAAGTCCCCATCCAGTTCAGCCGATTTCTTCACAATGTTTGAAATATTCGCGAAAAACTGATAGAGAGCACACTTAAATTCTGCTTGAGAGGTTCACTACTCTTTTGAAGACTGAACGAGCATGGCGTCATCTCAAGATTGTGTTAAGAACTGATAGAGGGAAAGCAACAACGGTGACGTTAAACTAAGGTGGGTTGGTTTCAAAATTCAAATTGTGTAGGAATATTAATATTTATTTTTTGTAACTGAACAATTATAAATTCCTTGCTTAGCATGTATGACTTCTACTAATAGCGAGGACGCAACAACAACGACCATCCTCCACGAATCCTAAGGCCATAGCCCTCGAGTGCTTTGCCACATAATCGAATAATCCAATCCACTTTTAAATCAGAGTAAATTTCATTTTACGTGACATACTTTGATACAATTTGTTTCTGAGTTACGATCTTCGTCCGGAAAATTACAGAATATTAGTCTTGAATTCTGAAAACTGTGAGACACAGCTGTGTATAACAGCGCGCTTTAGTTCTTAGCCTCTTAAAAATATTTACTTGTGTATATCTCTTTGCACTTGTATATTCTACTCATATTGCTTTTCTTAATGCACGTGTTTACTTCTTCCTGTTCATTTATTTATTTATTTTTAATGCTTCAGTTAATAACTTGGGGATGTGGCTGTCAGTACTATCTAATTTTATTTTTTCTTTTCTACGTAGGTTCTTCAAATTCTCTTCCTGCACCAGGTATGCACTTTCTTTAGTTTTTCCTTTCCTTATTTTTTCAGCATCTTATGTTTTTCTGAATAATATACTTATTTATTTTTTGATTTCATTGATAAGTTACATTTAAACTTCACAAGTTCTGACTAGTGTTTTTTTTAGAAATGAGCAAATATGATACGACAGCAAGTAATTATTACTAAAATTCTTTCCTGAAACAGGATTATGGTTTATGTTTCAGTTGTATGTATGTTCAGTAAATACAATTGAACCTCACTAAAACGAATTTCAGGGAAGCGGAATTTCGGTTATCCCATTTGGTAAGAAATGTAAATCGTTTCTCAATATTATGTTTTTAGAATGATATGAAAACGAATAACCAAAAATATTGTCGAATTTAACTTTCACTTAAAACACGTATGGTTGCAAAGGAAAGATTTTAATCACTTTTGTAAAGAATACTGTCTTTAGAATGGAAAACCTCCATTAAGATAACACTACATCTTATTGAATATCTATATCTTATAATTATATATATAACACTATATCCATTTTTATGACACTATATCTGAAAATATTACGGATCTAGCTACAGTGAAGTCGAATCAAATTTCTGGACAGAAGAATTTACAGAAATTTTACCATAAAATTTCGAATGTTTCTGATTTTCGGCTTGCTTAACTTAACATGAACGTCCTTTCCTAAAATAAAATGTGTTATAATAATTTAATAGATACATGTTTTGTATTTCGTGACCCGATGTATTAAGCAGACTGCCCTAAAGTTTTAAAAATATTTAAACGACAGACAAAAGTAAAGCAATTTATTTGAACACGTTTATTTGAAAAAACGTAAGTAGTGTTTTCATCAAAATACAAATTTAAAATCAGGTATTTAGCTGGAAAATCTTGACAATAAGAAAAAAAAAATTAAAATACTGCCTCACATGAATGTTATTTCTGAAACTGAATCGAATCTTTTAAAAGTTTCTATTAGCTATGCAGGAAGCAAAATTCTTAAATGCACATCAGTTTTGCACCCGACGAAACTTCGGGTACGGACAATGGGCATCTACTGCTTTCTTGTGACGTGAAACCTTTATCATCCTCAGTATCAAAGCGCGTATTTGCATTCTTTTTCAATTCTTTAAAGCAGGCGATGAAATAAATCTTCCAAATTACTTGTGTATGATCTAATTTCAAATCGGACATTTTCATTCAAAATCCAAGAATTATTAATTATTCTGTACAGGAAATTATACGGCAAAACATTTTCAATCACCCTGTGTTAAGCACGGCAAAGTTCGCGTGACGTGACAGAAAATACTACTGTAAACCTTTTAGTCCATTCCAGAAGCCCCTCTCCCGGTTATATCGATGTGCCATTACTATGCATAAGGTAATGGCTCCATCTTTACCGGTATTCAAAACTTGCAAAGAAAGTGATGCAAGCAGAAACTCTCAGACTCAATACTTATGCCAGCTTAAACAAGAATTTCAACATGAGCACTATAATTTAAACTAGAAGGCTGTAGCACCTGATAGTACGTTACGGATTAAATTGTTAGAACACACCATCATGGATATCGATACATACATAACAGAAAAATCTAATGTGGGCCCCCTCAGCCGACCAAAACTAGGACGCAGGAAAAAAGGCTCATCCGAAATGAATTTAATAAAACACATAAAAAGAAAGTTACAACGGATAGTGAGGGATTTACAACTTCCCGTTTAACATATAAACGTACTCGCTCAAACACGGATGTAGAAGAACCTTCACAGGAAAACAAATTTAATGATTTAAATTCAGAAGACCACATGGATGTCACGAATGCTGATGAGGCGGATTTCATACTGCCAGAAAAGACCGTAGCGCACATCCCCCCCCCCGTTGTCCTTGCTGATTTTAATGGAGATTGGGATGTTCTCAAAGAGGAAATCGAGAAACAAGGAGTGAAGAAGTATCGCAATAATCTGAAAGATGATACTTTTACCATACGGTGTATTTGATTCAGATCATTACAGAATTATCACCAAAATGATGCAAGATAGAGGTATACCTTTCTATACATATAAGTTAAATTCAGAGAAGCCGGTCAAGACTGTAGTTAAGAAATTGCCCAAAAACACAAATTTTGAAGCAATTCATAATGAACTAACAGAAAAAGAAATTCCTCTTTTGAAAGTCAGGCAAATTACTCGCGTCAGAAATGGCAATTTAATAATGTCCCCTCTTCTCGGTGGAAGTACGAAGAAACGTAGAAGGAAACAAAAATCAACCAAATTAGGAAGCCCTCAGAGGTTTGTATGTTTTTATTGTTACTTATTGTACACGACCGGGTCGCATATAAGCAAAATGTACATTGCTAGGACAACGGCTTGAATTTGCCAATGACAATCCAGATGACCATTAACTCCGCCGACAATGATGTCACAAGGCCTGAAATTTGTTTTACCGATATTTTTCTAGTATTTTTTTTTTAGTTTGCATTATGACCTCTATATTGAAAATCACCACCACTGAGCTTCCTGACTCATTTGAAAATGAGATAGTGGAATCATTAGATGACACTGTTATAATAAGAAGTAATTTGGAAAATATGGAAGATATCAACAAATTGCTGAGAAAACAAATTCTCAATGAAATACTACAACTTCAAATCCGATTTACGAACATCTTATTTTTCTTTAGTACGTAATCTTTATTTATTCATATAACCTTAGTTTCATGAATGTTCTTAGTTTTACGAATTTAAGCATGCCTAAATCATTATGCTACTGATACATAATATATTGTAACTTAATTTGCACAAGCAATAGAGGAAATATATATCAAACAATAAATGTTTATTAAAAACTATTATGATTAATATAGTATATATTAAAGATATTATAATGTGTTTATTTATAATGATAAATTACAAATTATCATTAATTAATTATTATTATGTACAATATGTTAATATTTGTTAATAATAATTTATAATAATTATATATAATATATTAATATTTTATCTTCTATAAATTAATATAAAAATCTGAATTTTTCTTTAATTAACATTACTGGTCACTGGGGGTCACTTACAGAAAATGCAAATACTTATAAGTGATAATCCCAATATTTTCAGAAAGCAGTTTGTATGTCATCATAGTTCTCACAGGAAAGTAGGTAGAAAAATGAGCGGAAACAGTGTCTCAAAAAACGCAGAATGTAAAGCTTTTGTGAAAATAATGATTAAGGATGACAAAAGATGTGTAAAATGCAAGGATAAATTTGTCAAAGCAAGTTATGTGTACATATAAGTTTGCTTATGTAAGCATAAAAGTAGTATTTATTAATATTAAGTTCCCCTCATCCACAGCCTATTGACAAAAGAAAAATAAGGAACCATATGAATAATAATTAAAATCAAGCAAAAAAAAATTACCTTAATCTGGCATACATTTTTAATAAAACTTGCACTCGGGCAGTTTTGCTGCTGAAAAGTCTTGCTTTTTACCTTGCCATGTTTCTGTTCCATTTGATATAATAGTCTGCATAAGCATATTTAAATTTATATTAACCTTCTTTATTTTAGTGTAGTTTTATTCACATTACAGTCAGCTGTTTTATAATTGGTGTTTTGTTTACTTGCATAATACATGCATACATGTGCGAGTGTATGTGTGTGCGTATGTGTAAGTGTATGTGTGTGTAAGTACATATCTCTTACAATAACATCTACCCAATCATCTGTCTAGAAAAGCATTAGTAAGCCTGTTTGGGAAGCATCTTTTCTAACAAAGAGGTGTTAATTAGGTGCTATATTTCACCAGACATATCCCATTCTCACTTCGAATACATAGCCCATTCTGACCATCTGACTGGATCTAATTTTCTATTGGAACAGTAGAGTAATCCTTGATATTCCGAAACAAACATTATACAATATATATATATATATATACATATATATAAACACTTTCATTTCGAAAAACTAAATGTACATTCAAAGAACGCACTTCGCAACGCGCTATAGCAGAATGTAAACAAATGTCAGTAATGTGACATCATTCATGTGGGCGGAGTTAATGGTGACCGTCCATCTGGCCAAATTCAAGCCGTTGTCCTAGCAGTGCACATTTTGCTTATATGTGACCGGGTCCCGTGCAGTGCCATATGTTCCAGAGGTACGGGCACACACGAGATCTGTATCATTACATGCCAAGATGCCTATAATGTGCAAAACCTCATAAATCATATCAATGCACTCAGAAGAAGGACGAAAAACCTGCAGTCTGCGCTTTATGTGGTGGAAACCACGTTTCATCATATAACGGTTGTAGCAAATATACTTAAGATTCTCCTTAAGTTGAATATCAAGAAAAACCTAAAATAGCAAAAAACTTTAATCTCAATAATAAAGATTTCCTCACTCTCCCTGGAGCCAAAGAACAGGAGATCCCTGGCACCACCCCTGCTTGGACTCAGCCAATAGCTAACACCTCAAAAGTCTCATTTTTTTGATTGGCTCAAAACCCAACTACTAAAAGTTTCTGGCTGGCTGTAATTTAGTATTTCACCAAATTCAAATCAGCCAGAAACATTATGGAAAAGACAGAAGTTGGTATGTCTGCCATTGAATATTTTACAAGCTTAAATTAAGACTTTCAGTCCTTCTCAACAATATATCAACTTAATTCCAGCTACAAACAGCTTTCTTAAAATCTCCTATTCTAATGCTAATGGAATTCGGCAACAAAAACATGCGAAATCATAAATTACCTTACCAAGCTCAACATCGACATTATGATGATGACGAAACTCACCTGCGTCCATGTGACCGACTTTATATTCATGGTTACAGCATTCTAAGAGAAGACATAAGTCATAATAGAGGAGGAGGTACGGCAATCATCATTAAAAGTCATATTAAACACACTAAATTTTCAATCCCTCACAATAGCGCTATGGAATATACCTCGGCTCTCATACACAGTGGCTTCAGTGAAGCGTATTTATTCATCTCAGTGTACAATCCA